AGACCCGCCTGGACAAGGTCCTGTGCAGCCTGCTCTGGGTGACCCTGCTTGGGCAGGGGGTTGGACTAGATGACCCACAGAGGTCCCTTCCAACCCCTACTATTCTGTGATTCTGTGATTCTGTGATTCTGTCTCCATATTTACATGTACGCAGTAGAAAATAATGATGAAAGTTGACTGGTGTGAAGGGGCTAATTGTCTCTGTGACCAAGTTACACTTTTTTCTACTTAACACCGAATTTCTAGGAGTAAACGCTGATCTGCAGAACCTCCCGCACGGTGCTGCTGACTCCAACGAGGGCAGACCGGCGGAAAGACGAAGGAAAGGCGAAGCAGAGAAACATCCCCACAAAGCGCTGGAAACTTCCGCAGCCGCCCAGGTACGGCTGGGCGAGGCATCCCTGCCGGGCGGCTGCGGGCGCAGCTCTGGCAGCAGCCAGGGCTCAGACGCCATGGTGACGAACGCTCCGCTCCTCGAGAGGGTGAGCCGAGGAAATCCAACCCACCCTCCCGTCGCACCGATCCCCGCCGCACGCTGATTAGCGGTGGTACCACGCCGCGTAAGAAGAGCAGGGGAGGACGAGCATGGGAAAGGTTAATCACATCTTGTTTTGCTTGACAATAACTCCTTCAATGATGAACACTTTCCAACCTGGCTTTTAAAAAATATATATTAGATCTTCTTTTTACATGCCTCACCTTTATTCCTGCTAACACTTGCCCATTAAATGCTTTTGCCCAAACAAATTTGTATTCAAAATGAGCTTTTTTGAACCACGGTAATTATAGCTGTCAATTGGGGCATTATTTATTCTGCATCTCACCTACATGGTGTTCAAATATACCTTTTGAAAATTATGAATACCAGCTTAGTTGTGTTTGTTTTTCTTAAAAACCTCACCTTCCTTTAAGCAGCAGGTTCAGACAGTGTCTTCTTCTTTTTCCCTCACTATTCCCGCCGTGACACGGGAGCCCAGAGCCGCCGCCGGCGCAGACGCCATCCTTCTCCAGCATCACGCAGCTGCCATCGTCACCACCAGCCCCGAGCCCACCCACGCCGCGGATCTGAGCACCGCAGACGCCCGTTGTGTTTCCCAGAGGCACCGAGACACCGGAGGCCGGCGGCCTCGGTCCCTGCACGTAATGATCTGCAGAGATCACGGCGCACCGGTAACTTGCTGGAAAAGGAACAAATGACAAGT